TTTAGGGTTTAGGGTTTAGGTGGGTCCTTATTTGGCGGGTGACTTAGTCAGTAGGTTCAGGGTCTTGAGGTTTAGGAGGGTTTAGTTTCCTTAGTTGGAGGGGACCTTATAAGTGTCACAGCCCCGATTAGGACCCCTTTCCAGGGTACTTATAAGTCTACTTATGAACCACTTGCTACCTCCAGCGAGACTCCAAGTCGGAATCGTATCATGGTGCCTAGAGTTTTGCTACACAGTTAACCTGTGGACCAGGTTGAACATGCCATGATGCTTTGAATTAAAAGTTTTGGATTTCCAGGGTGCAGGGTTGGAGGAGTCTAAATATAGAAGCCTAAATAATTACCTATGCTATTTTGTGCGTTCCTTATGATAGCTATAGCATAATTGGTCCCAAAACCCCGTTCCATTTGTTAAGGCCCCTAAATCCTCTTAAAGAACCTTTTAAGGAACCCTTTAAAGGAGCCCCAAAACCCTATTCTAATTATTAAGGCCCCCAATATTCGAGGAGTCTGTCAGATGAAACGAGCCCTTCAAGTTTTCTTTCAAGAGAAGTTCCAATATTAGTATAGTATAATGTCCCTCCAAACCTGCTCCAGTTAATAAGGTCCCCAGATTCGTTCTTGAACAGCACCCTCCGAGCGGCTTAATGAAACCCTACCCAGGCCTTGAATGCTGGTTAAGGCCGCGGCTGCCAGAGCATGGCGGCTGGTACTACAGCTGGGAGTCGGCGCATGAACCGGTGTGGCTCGGTTGGTTGAGGTTTAGGGTTGGGGGTTCAGGTTTGAAGGGAGTTGTTGCTTTTGCACAGTGTTTTCCTTCGCTTGATAAGAGCTCCAGGGGGTTCTAAGGAATTAAAGTTCCGCAAGCATTCCAAGCAGAACTTCGTTTGGGTTTGAGGTGTCGGGGGATTTAGTAAGCAGGCGATCAGCAGGCTCATATCAAAGGGGCCCTAATTGGGGTTATGGGGGTTCCTGTACTCGAGCCTTTAGTAGTATAGGGTCCCAGATTAGGGGTTCTACTTTCTAGATCCTTCAGGGGGTCTGGGACCTTAAACCCTAAACCCCCAAACCCTAAACCCTAAAACCCGCCACCCTCCAAGCAGCAGCACCCCTACACCCTGAACTCTACGCCCTGAACCCTAAACCCCAGACTCCCGGGAGGATCTAAAAAGTAGATCCCTTAAGGAGGTTCCTATAAGGGTAGTGCTCTAAATTAGGGTCCTTCTTGAGGTCCCCAATATAGTACGGCACCCGTATAACAAGGATCCTAAAAATAATCCTAATTTGGAGAATTACCCATAAAGTACCCTTTAGTATTTAGGGTCCCAAATTAGGGGATCTGCTATTTTTGTCCTGCGGGGTCTGGGAATCGGAAACCCTAAGCCCAGAACCCTAAACTCCAACGCAGGTGGTACGGTTCTAGGGACACCCTTGCAGCGGTGGCGTGGTCTGACGACGTGGGATCTGGCCGGACAACGTAGCTGGGGACTACTTTCGGACCCCTGGCTCCTGCGGGGTTTAGGGTTTAGGGTTTCCTTTTATTCAGGGTTTAGCTATTTCGGGTTTAGGGCTTGGGGTTTAGGAAACCTTAAACTCTGAAGTATCAGGGAGCTTTTAGTAGGTGGCCTATGATGCCACATACTACTCCCCAGACCCCCTGAAGGATCCAGAAAGTAGATCCTTTAATGGGGTTCCTATAAATAAAGAGCTCTTTAGTAGTATAGGGTCTCAGATTGGGCGTTCGACTTTCTAGATCCTTCCGGAGTCTGGGTCAAGGATTCTTCATGTCCAGGCGAGGGTCTGTGTCTCGGGGTTCTTTTGTGCCTATGAGGTGAAGGGGATACGCTGGATGACACCGGCAGCGGCGAGTGGCTGGCACTCATCGCCAGCTCAATGAACGCCATGTGCCCCGGTGCTGACGCTGGGCTTGAGACACACCTTTGTGCCTTAGGGTTCAGGGTTTTGCATCGAGCCTGTTCAGTCTGATCGACACTTGTTTCGGTTTCTCCAGGCGCGTCGGTGTTCACCATGTTTGGCATGTTTGCCGTTACTCGGGTGCATATGTAGTTCTACAAATGTCTTCAGCTTTTCACAAGACTCCCCACAAGCTAGTAGCTAGTAGTCTTGATATTTGACCGTCGCGTTCCTGGCACAACGACGTATGGCTGCATGAAACTAAGTATTCATTTAGAGTTACCCAAACGGTCCTAAGTAACTAAACGATGGAAAGTTAGTTGGGGTTCCTATCGTAGGAATTACTATCCTGTTTGGGCAAGTATCACCAATATTCGTACTTGGGACCCTTTGTGGAGTTTTCATTTTTTTGACATCACTGTAGTTTATTCTCCCTCACAATATCGTGGCCGTGTTCATCGTCAGTTTGGCAAAGCCAGTATCTATGGTTACGAGTACTCGCGCTATTTAGTACCACTAACCACAAACAGCAGACAAGCTTCCACAAACAGCAAACAACCAACAACCAACAGCACCAACAACAACCAACAACAACGATAACACCACCACCACCACCACCACCACCACCACCACCACCACCACCACCACCACCAGGGCCACCACCACCACCCAGCAGCAGCAGCAGCAACGACAACGACAACGACAACGCCGACAACAGCCACAACATCATCATCATCATCATCATCAACACCTCCATCACCATCATCATCACCATCTTCA